GAGGACCACACTGACGGCCGACTTCCTCCGGCCCGTCCCCGAAAAGTATGACCGCACCGCGCATGGAACTAGGTCCAAACCTACGGCCTGGCATCCACTACATACGCATCGACATACTACTCTCACGAACCGGGCCTTCCCGCAGCGATAATCGCTTCCCGAGAAAGTGTGGCAGGGCCCCCGTCTCTTCCGCCCCCCTTAATCTAGGCCTTGGCCCGCAGAGAAGACGAGAAGACGTTCTTTGCGTATTGGACGATGAGAAGATGCTCCTTTCACGACTGCTTAGTGTGCGTAGCCGAGCCGGGCGCTGTATCACCGAGCCATGCGAGGCGAGCAGATCACCAACGGTCACGTTGGACCGCCTACACGAACCAAAACGCTTGCCGGGGACCGGGGGTCTGGGACTTGCATCTCTGCGGGACGTCGTTTTTCTTTCTTCTTGTCTCCCGGGTATGGTTTCCGGAGGCTGGACGACGTTACTGCAAGGCGAGTCGTAAAGTTGCGTCCGCTCGCTGCGTCGGAGACTCCCCATGTGGAAGTCCACACTGTCGGTCAAGACTTTGACCCGGCTCACCGATTCGAGAAGCAAGGGGATTCCCGAACCTGCTTCCGGTTGCACTGCGATTTCTCGGGTTCGCTGGCCCGCTGTCGTTGGCGCTGGCGCCTGCGCAAAGAAGCAAAGCCCTATCTAGAACCTATGCCATCCCGACCTTGCATGACAACCTCTACACCGAGGGCGTGATGGAAGTGGGCGAGTATCTCAAGCGGCATCCATGTGGTGTATTCCCATTCGGCCGGATCGCGGGAGTACAGCCTTCGAGACATGCCTGGATATAAGTCACAGGACTCTCAGCCAATACTTCTCCGGATGGCGTTCTCGCTGTCGCGCCCCATCTATATTGTATTTTGGTCGCATCATAGATGCGCGCAGCGATTCATTGCCATGCTTCCATTTGTAGAGAAGGTTTCCCGGGGCAAGATATCTCACCTCCCGGCCGGGGGTTGGATTGCTTTCTCTCTTCCTTCTAATGCCCTCATTCTTTTTTTTTCCTTCTCGCAACTTGGAGGGCCATTTAACGATAAGAGAAGCAAGTTGGGACCCGTTTTCTTGAACCACCCCAGACAGGCATGTAGTACACCGACCCCCTTCACCGCTACTATCCCGCTATGCAGGTTGATAAAACCCCCCCAGCTCCAAGAGCCGAGCCCACGAACGACAACCCCGGCACGGTACTAGGTTACCGTGCCGCGAGAGTCCACTTTGAAAGTCTACTTTCCCCCATCTCGGCGCAGCTAGCCGAATGCAGGCGGGATTCTTGGGAAGGGAGGAGGGTAACAACGAAATGTGAGGGCTGCCGCGGAGCCAACTTCCCAGTGGGCCTCCCGTATGTATGTACAAGCTACCAAGGACTGCAGTCTGCAACCCATTTCCACGGGATGCCGTTTCTGGTTTTCGTCGTATCACACGTATCTCCTTCTTTTAGTTCTTACGACCTTTCTTTCCTTGCCTTCATTTCTTGTCCAATGCTTTGCTTCATAGGCACGATAGGTATCCCAATCAGCCGTTCTTCCACCTTGAGGAAGAAAAAAAAGCTGGCAGAGCCTATAAGCACCGCATGCTGCAGGGTCTCTTGTGTTTCGGCGACGCGACTGGATGCTGTTCGTGTTGCTAGCCAAAGATCCAATCGCGACCCCTGACTTGTCCAACGTCTTGCTTGGCCGCACCTTTTTTGCCGTCTTACAAGTGAACTCTTTGGGAGCAGGCTGTGGGCCCATGAGATGTTGGACAGAGCAGCGAGAGAAATCCCATCTACCAGTCTAGCGGGAGTGTGAGAGTGAGATACGACCGAGGTCCCGGAACCGTGAATGTGGGTTTTTGGGTCCTCGTCTATGACGGCTCGTTTCGGCAGGCAAGTTCTCGTTCGACGTGAAAGATGTAGGTCTGACCTTCTCGTCTGTATGCGTGTAAGCCTTTGATGTTTTACGTTGTGTTTTTGGAACTCTTGGCTCTGCTGTATGACGGCGGGCTTCCCTCCATCGAACGTGTTCCCGTGTGAACGTGACCAGGGAGCCTCGCGTCTACGTTGTTTACCTCGTGATATCGTGCGTCGGGAGGGGGACCTGGGATGTGATCAAGCATCTCGATTTGATGGTTTTGTGATGGAATTTATATGTATCTAGGTATCCATCCTCCGGGGGGCTGCAAGCTTTGACTTGGCGCAGATTCGAAGAAGCCATGAACGGTTTGTCTTGAATCATCACTCATCTCAGGTCGACCGTTCGAGGTCATTGCTCGCGTGCCCCCCCTCACCCCTCTAGAAGTTCCGGAAGAACCTATTGGCCCGCGGAAAAGAGCGTTTTCAAAATCTCACCTTACTGCGAAGACCTGACTTGTTGGGTTTTTTCAAGCTAATGGATGGCGGTCTGCTACATTGCCCATCCGGTTCAGCTCGGCCGGGGGGCGTGTCTTCGAACCTTCATCGTTACAGCCGCGGTTCTTCTAGACATTTATCAGTCTCTAAGTATCTCTCTCTCTCTCGCTCGCTCTCCAACGGCAGGCAGCTGCTCCTCGGCGTCCATTGGCGCATTATATATGCTGACAAGCCACCGTTGGAGAACGATCTCCACGATCTATCAATAGTCAGTCAACAGAAGACTCGTAACCGGGGCTGTATACTCCATACTGCCATTGGCAATACACGGGAGTCGGGAGGTACTTGGAAGAGGGCCTCGGGCTAGATGGCAAGTTAGTCCGATCTGATGACAAGTCGTTGCGATATGCTCTTTCTCCCACCCTTCCCTTCGCCGCTGCCACCCCCCTAGGTTTACGGAGTACGGTACTTCGAGACCCTTGCTCCTTCGGCTTACATCCCCCAAAAAGATCTGCGTAATGGAAGTTGGAACAAGCGGAGAAGCTCCGACTCTGAACGACCAACCAACCCCCTGGGCATTGTAGTGTAAGTAGCTACGGAGTACAGTAACTTTGTAACTTGCTGAATCAGATCGAAACTCAGGAGAATTGATATGAACCTAGGCCTGATGTGTCGTGCAAGGCCCCTCCCTTACCGCCGGTACTGTACCCTGCTCTTCATAAGTTTTCTCAGATTCTTACCTGTTTCTACCAGTATCTTGCCTCCAGAAAAGAGAAAAAAAAAATAAAACATGTGACGAGAAGGTGATATCGAAGCTATCCGTTTCCGCTCTCCTACCTCGGCAGAAAGGGGTGGCTGGCTGTCAAGATCGCTTCCTCGGTCCGGCGCTCTACCGCCTTCTCTCTCGATGCAGAACATCTCACATATGGACTGGGGCCATTAGAGCAAGGAAAGATAAAGTACGGTGCAAGCACAAAAAAAAAGGAAAAAAAAAGAAAAGAAATCCATGAACATTGTCTCAGATTGTGCCGCCGGCTGGGCATCACCGCCCTTTGTCTCCCTACCAAGAGCTTTCTTCTTCCTGACAAAAAGCTGGTGCTTGGTAACTCGTACAACGTGGTACGCGGGCACCGTCTGCACGTATCTACCTAGTAACCTAGGTGTCTGGGTATTATCCGAGGAAATCACTTTGCGACCGATTCGTGTCACCTCAAATGCTGTGACATCTTTCCCAACGCCCCAATCCGCCCACCCGCCTTGGCTATTGACGCACAGCAGCGGCAGCCACCAACGGCGGTGGAAGGCGAGTTTAGTTGCAGAAAAGCAAAAGGGGAAAAAAAAAATTCAAGACGGTCTCGCAGCTTTTCTCTGAGTCAGAACGTCATCAGACTCAACTCGTGCTTTTCATGCCTCAAAGTAAAGCCACTGGAGGTCTTTGGTGTCAACGCCCCATTCAAGTTCATCCCATGCTCTCGCATCCATCTCGAAACGGGTACCCATAATCGAAGTTGGAACATTGGACCCTGAAGCCGACCTTCCCGGAGGTGAAACTGCCATCTCGTCGTCGGTTGTGGTCGGAAGGGCAGCCGGTAGGAGAACAGGGGGGCCAGGCTCGCTAGAAACTTGAGTTTATCACTCCCCCGATTATCGGTACGACCCTACTTAGTCAGTGACGATAACAAAACACAAATACTGAAAGGATGTTTCGATACGAAAAGTGTAAATCAGCACACGGAAACTCCAAGCCGCTGAAACAGACGAAACTGGTACTCTGAACCTTTGCGGGCCAGCTTAGCGGGGGAAAAAAATATCGTGGTCAATCCTTGCCCTCACAGAAGCCCGACATCAATATATCGAAACTCAGCCTTTGATAGCAGCAGCAAGTGATAGCCAAGAGGGTCGCCCCGTGCCACTGGGTGTCACGGTGTGTGGCTGACTAGCACGTAGGACGGACGGCCTGCTGACGATCGCAAAGGTCTAGACCGCAAGATTGTCCGATCTGCGACGATCTCACCAATGTTGTTCGGTTACTGCATCAAACCCAGCATGTTGTAACAAAGGCGGCCCGCTTCCATGTAGTATGATGTCTGGCAGTGTGACCGACGCAGCTGGAAGTAACGGAGACATATGACAACTTGACCAGAGTCACCGACGCTCTCAGTGTTTGTAAATACTGTGGCTGCGTGTTCTTGGTCGGCCCCGGGTTGAGCAAGGACCTCATCGCTGCAAATCGTTGATAGCCAACGACGTCCAGTGAGGCTCAAGAAGTCAATGTCACGATGTGGGGGACCAACGGGCACTGTTGGTGTGCTGTGCAGTCCCACTTCCGAGAATTCCCCTTCCATCCCCCACGAGCCATGTTCCCCCAAACCCCAATCAAGGTAAGTTTGCATACGGGGTGCATATGTTGTGTCGAATGAATGACGTCTCAGCCTTGTGACACCAGATCATTACTTGCTCCATTTCAACGTCATGAGCCTGCAGCGTGGCACATCTGTCCTCGATATGCAATGTAGTAGGAAATCCAGGCCTTGTCGGCGACGGGAACTTCGACCACGTGGAGGAGCTCTGTGGGACGGACAAACACATATTGAAAGCTGGAAGCTGAGAATGTGTCGGTGGCCGTCATCACTCTCGGGGATCTACCGTAGACACCCTTGTCGGAGGTGTCAAAGTGTGGTCTAGACACCTGCAGAAGATGCCGGCGGTGATTCGGACGGCCTTCCCGTTTCGCGGTTGAGCATGGTCATAGCAACCCGGTGAGAGGGCCAGCTGCATCCGTACCCAAATCGGCCTCCAACGTTGACGGACAACGGCGGGCTGATCACCGCATGTTTGATGGCAACGCCCGCCGGAGATGGCTTCGTCTTTATGGTAGGGGCAAATGCATCGGCCTGCAGTGCGGCTAACAGCTCACTGCCCAGCTAAGACACGTAAATCGAACGGGGAATTTCGATGCAGGCGATACGTTTACTGTACAGTATTGAACCACGATGGCTGCGCAGGTGAATTATACCTCGAAACCGAGAAGCTTTGTTTAGCCTAAGGAAAGGCCAACGCTCGATCATTTTGTATCGCGTGAAAAGCATTTGCGTGAGACGGAGATCGTGAGAGGAAACCGCAAGCGAAAGGAAGGCCAAATCTTCACAGGCCGCCAGCGACCTTCAGCTGTTGACGGGACTACACCGGGCCGTAGGCCGCTCGGGAGGCACACACACACACACACACACACACACACACGCTCACCGACCATCTGCATGAGGTAGCTGATAATGCTCCATCGGTTCCCAATCGAGGGCTTTCTTGTAATTGCAAACGATGTGTGAGACGCGCCAGGTCAACGTGAACAGTTGGAAGGTTGTTGGAGCAATGGCGCAGCCTGTCTCATCCGACATTTCATTGCGCGTCCTACACACATCGGATTGTTATAAGTGTCGGACGGTCTAGGTGAAACAGCTATTAAAAGCCTCGGCGACTTCCCTCCCGAACGGTCTGCAACAGCCGCAACTTACAGCGGCGACGTGACTCGAGGCTGGCGTTGCAGATCCGTCACCGACCTCTTCCTTGCAGTGGTTAAGTCTACACTCGTGTAAACAGGACGAGCTGAGAAGCTTACTTGGGTTCGGAAACAGAACTCATGCTCCTCTAGCGTACAACCCTAGACTTTAGTTTTCGCATCTCTTGCAAAAGGCTGACCGTGTGTGATCGCTCAGATCTGGCTCCAGCGACCGGACAGAACGCAACAGCGTAGATCACTCACTCTTAGCAGCCATGGAATCGGAAGCCTTCAGCGCAACTGAACAGGCGGCTAAGCACGAAAACTTACCGTATGTGACACGAGAATCGAGCCATCGGTTGACCGACGGATTTATCGACCGCGTCCAGGTCGTGTAAAGCAACGGGAGGAACAAAAAGTGACGAAAAGGGATCCTGTGTCTTGGAATCCTTGACATTTCTCCGCAGCTTCTGGGCCATCCTATGGCGATTACGACTAATAGGAGGGTTCGAATTGGTTCTCGTTGGGGGCGAGATGTGCTCGCGAAATCCGCCTATCCACGAGCGGATACTTTTGGTAGGTAGATTCCAGAGGCTGTTGGGCGCCCGACCAATCCCAGAGACCATCTAGTGCCGCAAAGCGTCGGACGGTTCAGCCAAAGAGCAACAGCAACTCACCACCCCGAGAACGATCCAAGCCGCCGAGTTGCAGGGGCAGTCCGGCCTGTCTTTGAGATGGTGGGTGCCGGACCTGGACCTGCTTGTGCTCCTGAACGTGTCTAGGTCACAGGTGGGTAGGCACATAGGCTCACTCGCTGGTCCGGTATATGCATGCGTAAATGCACGCTGCGGCTGCCGTCACTGTGCCCTCGTCTGCTAACGCAGCTGATGGTGGAGTTCAAGCGGTGAGAAGGGCCTGGATGCAAGCCGTTTGGTTGGGATTCTGACCACCCAAAAGCGCGGGCTGATATCAAACCGCGACAGCATCGCAAGCAGTGACGGCAGCGGTGCAGGCGGTTCCAGGGGTTCTGGAAGCCGTGAGTGACAAGGTTGATGATTGCTCGATGGTCTTTCATTTTTGCAACATCCTTGACGGATGCTGACACCGGATACGGGCTGGGAAACCGAGGCCGGGGCAGAAAGAAAGAGAACCCGACGAAGGAGGTTGTACCCAGTCATAGAGCGGCGGCGGCGGCGGATCGGAAAGGCTGCGTCGGCTAGGCGAAAGCTGATATTGTAGGTTATCGTGGCTGACAAGCGGTTGTTTTTGCATCTAGGTGTCGGTGCGCATCTCGGCCGAGGACTACTCCTGTACCATACATGCCCGTTGCCCGTTGTCGTGGCAGTACAACGTCTAGAATCTAGAGAAATAGGTTCTTGCTTGGCGTTTTGGGTGCGCAAGCCCGAAAACCTTGTTTGGTTTTCCTTCGTATTTACAGTGAGTGATTCGGCACCTCGAACGGAGGCATCGGGCAATTCGAGCATAGTGGGGTTGAGGAAGCAAGAAACATTCCACGCGTGTTGCGTATAGATACAAAGAAGGGAGGATGTTGACATGGCAGTCAGAGGACTCATAGAATCGAGAGATAGGTAGACCTGGCGTCGAGAAAGTGTGCTAGCCTGCGAGTTAGTTGAGGCGAAGTGACAGTCCGTCAGTTGGTTAGCCAGAGGCGTAAGCCAGCCTTTGACCCAGCCATGCCATACCACACTGGTGACTGGACGGGTCAAAGTGGCCCGGCTAAATAGTTTTCAAGGATGATCATCGTAAGGTGGGAATCGGTTGTGAATGAAACCAGAGAATAAATGCTGAACTGGCGATGGACTCAATAGGTAGGTACTCCAGCTCGATCCGAGAACGGTCAGCAAAAGAGAGGAATTCGAGGCATACGGATACTGCGTAAGTCAATTGAAGGAGACGGCGAGGAGGCGTGAAGGAGGGGAGGTTCAAGGCAGGCAAGGATCGGTCAAGGGTTTGGTGTTTCCCCTTCCCGTTTATCCTTCCATTCCGCAGCTGAGGCCCTTTCCAGATGGAACCAGCGATGGGTCTGGAAGGGAAAGGGCTTGCAACTTGGAAGCTGGCAATGCAAGTAAGGAAGGTAAGGTAAGCTATTACTCCGTCAGCAGTGGTAAGTATTCGTACCTCACTCAGTACTGAGTACCTCCCTACCTTCTTACCTTGTACGGCGACAACCGCACCTCACCTCACCTCACTCACAGTCTTACACCAAACGACCAAACGCCCAATCAGCACCACCACGGCAGGCATGGCAGGAACGCATCGGAAGCTCTCCGGAAACAACACGACGAGGCCCGAGGCCGGGACTGGGCAGGAATTCCAGCAGCAGCAGCAAGCGCGTGCAGTCGAATGCAGATGCAGCAAGTCCCATGCAATGACGGCCAATTTATTACTTAGCTCGTTCCGTTGGTGCCATGAACGGAACTCTGGATCAATTCCCATTCGAAGCAGGATTTTCAAGATGGAGGGGGCCAAGAGTATTTTGTCGGTAAGACGAAGGAAGGACAACACGAGTGAGAAGGAGGGAAAAAGAAAAAAAAAAACCTACGACATGGAAGCAATGACTGAGTGAATAAAAACATAGAGAGAGAGAAAAAAGAACTTTATTGATAACCCATTGGTAAGATGCTTCATAGACTGTAGGACCCCTCACTAGCTGACTGGCAGGACCTAACCTTTGGGTACATTCGCACTTGCCTCTATTCAGAACTTGCAAGCAACAAGGGTCGATGAGGGACATTGGATGCTACAATCTTTGATTCGATTCTCCCCCTTCCTCTCTCGTAGTCTCCTCCTCCCGGGTCTTCTCAGCTCAGGCAGGGGGGGGGGGGCATCCGTCAAGATGACTTTGTAACTTTGTGTTTCTCAACATCCCTCACCATCGTTACGTATTTCTTCGTCTTACTTTTTTTTCTTTCTTACTACCGTGCGGCGTGCCGTCATTCTTCTGGACGTTCCCGTTCCCGTGTTTCCGTTTTTTCCCTTCCAAGCTTCCCGTCCCCTCGTGTTTTATTACCGATATCTTTCATAAACTTTTGTTACTTTTGTATGTACCGCCAGCCTAGGGAAGAGCGGTACTAAGCAATGCCGGGTAGCTACCTTAGATCAAGGATGAACTACCCATACAAAACAGATGACTGGATGACCTCGGTCGTTCCAACTAGCTCCCCCTCGTCCCCCCGTCAGCTGCAACATTGTCTCGCACCGTCTTAAACCCGTCCTGTGTACACCGTAGAACATTCCGCTTCGAGGCGTCCCGGGAACACCTCCTTGATGATCGCAGTGGTGGTCGGGTGTTCGCTCCGTGCTCTCGAACTGCTCTATCTACTTGTCGAGTTGTCTGCAAAGATAGGCTCTAGCGCCCTTGATCGCAAGAGCTAAGCCAAGGTGTGTGTGGTCTCGGGACTCAGATCCCTCATCCCAACCTGTTCTCCCGCCCCGCTCCGCTTTGCCTGTGACAGAAAGGTAAGAAGGAGATGAGATGCGCTATTCTGGGTCACTGGAACTATGGTCCACCGTACACGGCTACGGCTGTTGGTCACCACTGACAGGACGGTCAAAGACCATGGGATCTCGAGACTCTGGGAAGCACCTGACGGCTTTCCGGCACGTTGGCACAGCCTCTTGCTGTCATTTGCATTGACAATTGATGATGCAAGAGTGTGTACGGAGTATTCTCAACACGAGCATGTCGGATTGCCATGTCACACCTTGACTACCTACCTACATTATCCAACTCTGCTTGGACTGTCTGTCCTGATGAGGTACTTCTATGATCTAGGTATCTAAGGCGGGCGAGAGACAAATACAGTAGAGCAGACAAGAGAAAGAGAATCCAGACCGACGTTGATCATCCGTCCATCGTTACAAGTTACTGCGGATATCCCTCCACTTTATTCTTCAATGAACACCCCCCCAATCTTTTTTATATTGGAATCGTCACTGGGTCCTCGGCTGTGTCGTTGTCTTTTGTCTCCAGATGGACAATTTGTCCGGATACTGCTTTCTCTCACACCAAATCTGTCCAAGTCTATATCGCGTGGTTGTTTTTTTTAGAGCATGTATCCGTAGAATCCCATCCTTCCCCCCCTCCACATTTAACCTTCTCTTCGCGTTGCATGCGTAGCATCCGGATGTGTTACTTTTTCTTGCCTTCCCCTGGCCGTCGGTTCCTGTTTGGGGGCCCAATTCATCTCCATCCCCCGTTCGCGTCCCCTCCATCTTAAGCTCCATCTCCATCTCTCCATGTTCCGTGCTCTCCCTACGGCCCCAAAAAGCCCCTACGAGCAATATCATATGCATGAGTAGCCCCGGCACTAACCAGGGCGCACAACAGGACCCTTGGCGATTTCCTGTTTCCATCCATCAAGCGAGTCCAGGCCCTCGTTGGCATCCGGCCCAGAAGCTGCTGCAGTTGGTGCTGCACCTCGCAACTCACAGCTGTCTGGCTTCCGTTTACATCGACTTACACCTCGCATTCCGTATCATCCACCTGTCTACTCTACGTACTGCCTACGTGCCCGTACCTTACCTACCATACCTTGAGCATCTCACACCCAGCCATCCAATCATCCATTCCTTCGTCCACTCACCATTGGGATGCTCACTCCATCTCCGGGACCTACCTTACCTTACCTTTCCACGACGTGCATAAGGTGCCTTGGGTTCATACGACAGGGCAGCCGTCCCGGTCTTCATAGAATTGGATCTCATCATCGCTATTGACAACAACCACAACGCCGGCAGAACACCAGCATCAGCCCCGGCCACTACTTCGTACTCCACTTCTCACGCAAACCAGCCGGGACAGGTCCCCACATAGACGCGCTGTGTGTGGATTCCGGACTCTCGTTTGTTTCCTCCGAGTCTCGCTGCCTCCTTCTCACCTGAACTATCCGGCCACTGCCCACTTCATCTCACTCACAAGTTACAACTGCCCATTGCCCAGCGAGGTGCCAGTTGCCAGTGCCAGCACACCTCTCTCACATACATTCACATCGATATCCATTTTCACGAACCATTTAGTCCGACGAGCGATAGTCCAAGTCTACCTCACCAGCCACCCATTGCCTCGCTGCTGCGCTGCTGGTCGCTAACAAGCACCACACCGACACACCGTCGATCCACTACTGCCAACCACAACTGCGCTACAGGCGCGATACCCTCTGTGCTCTGTCTGGTGGCTGCTGCCATCGTGGTCTTCACATCTCCTACCAACGGAGGAATTGAGCCTGTGACAACAACCTGGCAGACCAAGCACCAACACGGCACACCTCGCTCGCTCTCTGCCAATCCGATATTACAGATATGTCGAGGTACCTTTTGGGGTAACTTGTAAGTCCCATTCATTACCTTAATTTGAGTGTCCCCGTTCCACCTCGCCTTACCAACCTTCTCTTCTCCTTCCATTGCCTTGCCTTACACAAACTACGGAGTACGGGCCCAGCTCTATTGCCTCGCTTCCTCCCTCCTGGCCTACTGTGTACATGGCCTTGATTGAGGCTTGGGTATCCGTACTTTTCGGCGTACTGGGCAGCTGGGCTTCGTCCTGCGCTACGGAGTACACACCTTCCTCACCTTACCTAAGGTACTGTGGGCAGGTACCTACCTACGTCTGCTGTGGGAGGTACAACCTTCCGTTCACTGCAGCTAGGAAGGTCCAACTGGATGTGGCATTAGGCCTGGATCGCACTTACTACTTTGGGCGACTCGTCCCTGCCTCGAAATCGATGTGTGGCAGGTGGGCGCTGTACTCTGTACTTGGTACCTGCTTTCAGGCGGTCTCCTGCCATAATCCCTTCCCACCCTTCTTCTTTCCCTCCAATAATCGCCATCGTCACCATCCCAACCTTCCACCACATGTTTTCATTCGCTTTGGTCTTCTAATTCCTCTCGATTTCTTCAATTTCTTCTTCTCCATATCCCATTTCTTTTACGCCCTTCTTGTTTCCTTACGCCCTCCCAGTCCCGCAACCTCCTCCCCGGGACTTGCATTTTTACTTGCTCTCCTCTTCTCGACTAGAAAACCCGGTTGAGAACTTCCGTCAACACCTTCTTCAACCCGGCGGAAGAGAGAGAGAAGGGGAAGAAAAATCAAAGAGGGTAAATCTTGGTACTAACCCCGGCTCTCGGCAGCTAGATAGCTTGTCCGCTGTCTCGTCAACACAAATACTTGTACCTAACGGATACCTTCTCAACGTCACGCTCCGTCTCCGAACCCGAGGCCTCTCGATATTCCTCTCTTTCTTCAACTTTCACGGATATCCACCCAGGTCACAAGCCTTCACTTCCTTGGTTCCCTCCGTCCAAGGTCTCACTTGTGGCGGCGAACCCAAGGCGAAATCCACTCTGTCATCCAGCTTCTACCACCTCACCTCACCCAGGGCCGCGCCTGTCTTGCCTCTCAGATCGTGGCACAGCCTGCCTCTGCTTTGCAGTCAAGCCCACTACTCGCCAGAAAAACCCCCGCCCCACCAGCCCTCGGCCGCCGAGTATCCTACAAGTCCTTGACTCTTCCTTGACTCGGCTACCAGGGACTTCGGAGTGGCTTTTCGCCACTGAGCAAGTCAGCCGACCCCACCACGACTCCAACTGAACAGGGCCCCTCTGTACCGCCCTGTGGTCCTGTGGGTTCGACCTGCAACCCCGGCACCACGAGCCTTTGGGAACGCACGCTTTGCACGACACCCCCCGGTCTCAGCGCTCGAGACCCCTACCTCCCCCCGGTGCCACCTGCATCCAGCGAGACCCAGAACCTTTTAGACGGGCGGGTAATCGCCTGCCAGACCACTCGCGTCTCCAGTCACTGGTGTCTCGCTCCAACATCTTGGTCCCGAAACGAGATCTCGTGTCTCTGGCTGCATCTCTCTTGTGGACTCCCACTTTCCTTGCGACGTACACATCGAGGTACCGCACCGTACCGGGCCTCCAACTTGCCACGGGAACGACGCCGACTGCGTCCCAGCTACGACGTGCAAGTGGCATATCTGGCAAAGGTATGAAATCATTAACCCTTTTTCCCGGATCATGAATTGTAAGTTTCTATTGTTTCCTTTTCTCTTTCCTTTCCTCTTTCCTTTCTCTTTCTCCCTTTCTCACCCGCGCAGGGGGGGTTTACTTTCCCTTGTATTATTATTCCTGACATCTGACTTTCCCTCCTCTGAATAGTCCACACCATGGTTGGTGTTGAGAAGCCGCCCCTGCCAATGCGGACCGCAAACGAGGCAAGAATGAACGAGGTCTGCCGAGAGGATGACCCGTTCTACTGTTTCCTGCTCCAGGCGACATTACTATACTACCCATTGTTGTTGTTGCTGGTCTTCGTCATCTCGGCCGCGACACACAGCATATTGACGACACCGAAAGACGACGTGGACGAAGAACCTTTGGGCCCAGGCGGTAAGCGACTACCCGTGTCGAAGAAGAAGAAGCGCCGCGATGGAGAAGAACCCAAACGCAAACAATATGGTCCGATACTGTCACCAACATCCCGATCATGGCTCACCTGGATCTCCGTCGTCGTATTTTTGACGTTCGTTGCCAATGCCGTCGCTCACTTCAGCTACGTTATGGGAGAACTCGAGGGCGTCATCAAGGGACATAAGGAGTCCCAATCCATGACTGTAAGTTATCCCCCATGTATACTCCAACCCGCAGGCTAATTTGGAACAGGTGTACCTCATTGGATCGCCGAACCTTTACCTATACCTCATCACGACACTATTCGAATGGAACGAAAGTCCAACGATAGCTCACTTCCTCACCTGGGTTCTCTCTCTGATTGGCGAATTGGTCATTTGCATATGCACTTTGCTTAAGGCCGCGGACCCGAGATTTGCAAGCGACGAAACAACCCAACTCGAGACTAGAACGCTGCATATATCTAAGTGGGATTTGACTGACGTCGTTCTCTACATCATCCGCATCGCACTCACAACGTGTATGCTCAGCATCTACTGGGCTGCTTGGGTCCACACGCCCAAACAGGAGGCAGACAAGACTGAGCTGCAAAACTCGTCTCAAGGCGCCGAGGAAACGACGCCTTTGCTTAACGGTCATCGGACGTCGTACAGCAGCCAAAACGGCCGAGATTTGAATGGTCGATCAGTACGAAGCTCTAGGAATGGAAGTACCGTCGGCAACACTAATGGTGCGGCTGAAGGTGGTAACATCACCAAGGACTATAAGGAGCCGGGCTTCTATCGACCTGACAAAGCACCGCAAACGACATGGTGGGGTTACCTGCGAAGCTACACGATGTTCTTCGATTACCAGTGGCCCAAGAACTCTCTTTACCTGCAGTTTCTCTATGCACTCTGCGTACTCCTCTTGGTGGCACAGCGTGCCATCAACGTAGCTGTACCAATTGTTGTTGGATGGCTCACGAAGAAGTTAACCCTCGCAGAGGCTCCGTGGTATATGTTGGGCCTGCTCATCTTCCTACGGGTTTTGCAAGGAGGAGGCATGCTTCTGGATGCGACACGAGCCATCTTATGGGTACCAATCTCACAAAACTCGTACAGGGCTTTGACGACAGCAGCCTTCGAGCACGTCCATTCTCTCAGCCTGGATTTCCACCTCGGCAAGCGAACCGGCGAGGTTTTGTCCGCCCTCAACAAAGGCGCGTCTATCAACTCCTTTCTCGAGCAAGTGACGTTCTCGGTGGCACCCATGATTCTCGATCTGCTCTTGGCCGTTGTGTTCTTCTGCTGGTACTTTGACGCGACCTATGGCGCGATAGTGAGCTGCCTAACTTTCTGGTACCTGTTCCTCACTATTAGGATGGCACAGACTAGGGCAGACCAGCGAAGGCTCATGTCCAACGCCGATAGAGAAGAAGAGGCCGTCAAGAACGATTCCATTACCAGCTACGAGACGGTCAAATATTTCAATGCCGAGCAGTGGGAGTTTCAACGATACCGCAACGCTATCGAGGCATACCAGGACGCTGAAAAGCAGGTAACGTGGGGCGTCAACAAGATGAACGTCATTCAAGCCTTTGTTTTCATGGCTGGATTCACTGTGGTCATGGTCTTTGGAGCTTATCAGGTCACCCATGGAGGAATGGATGTCGGCAGATTCCTGACCCTCATGACCTTCCTCAACCAGCTGCAGGCACCTCTGAACATATTCGGATCCTTCTACAGGACCATTCAACAGTCAATGATCTCGGGCGAGCGTCTTCTGGAGCTATTCAAAGTCAAGCCCACCGTGGTTGATGACGCCGATGCCAAACCCTTGCTTGAATGCAACGGCAACATCCGATGGAACAAGGTAGCGTTCAACTACGATCCAAAGAATAAGGCCCTGAAGGATCTCGACTTCGAGTGTAAGCCTGGCACCACCACGGCGTTTGTCGGCGAATCTGGCGGTGGAAAATCGACGGTTTTCCGCCTCATGTTCCGGTACTACAACACATCCTCTGGAAGCATCGAGATTGACGGTCAAGACGTCAAGAACCTTACTATTGATTCGGTCAGACGTTACATCGGAGTCGTCCCCCAGGATACCACAATGTTCAACGACACCCTGATGTATAATCTCAGATACGCCAACCAGTCAGCCACTGATGAGGAGGTGTTTGAAGCATGCCGGGCTGCCAGCATCCACGACCGGATTATGTCATTCCCAGAGAAGTACAACACAAAGGTCGGAGAGCGTGGTCTTAAACTCAGTGGTGGCGAGAGACAGCGAGTCGCAATAGCACGGACAATTCTCAAGAACCCCAAGATCATCATGCTGGATGAAGCAACGTCAGCCCTCGACGCCCACACAGAGCAACAAATTCAAGATCGGCTTGGCCACCTTGGTCAGGGCAGGACACTTTTGGTCATTGCGTAAGTTTCACCTTTTCCGCCTCACAGTTGGTTTGTTTTTTTCTAACATAGCTCGCAGACACCGCTTGTCGACCATTACGCATGCTGATCAAATCATTGTTCTCAACAACGGCACCATCGCTGAGAAGGGCACTCACGAAGAACTCGTCAACGCCAACGGACGTTACGCCTCGATGTGGGAGCGACAAGTGCAGGCAGAACGTGCCGCTGAGAAAGCTCGTGCTGCTAGTAGGAAGGCACAAAAGCTCCTTAGAAAGGCGAATATTGGTGGCCTCAAGAAGCAGACAGATGGACATTCGGATGGATACACTAGCCTTGACTCCTCGACTATCCTTCCAGGCAGCTCAGGGAACAACTCCAAGGCCGGCACTACGGGTGAGGACTCGTCCAGCTCTAACAGCTCTGATGTCGAGTCGGTACACAGTGCTCACCACGATTCGGATCACTCTGATCACTCGGATCACTCACACCATTCGGATCGCTCACATCATTCTGACCGATCGCATCACTCTGATCACTCACATCATTCTGATGACTCGCACCATTCTCGACGACACTGATTCTTCCAGCCAGAATCTCTACAAGTGTGACAAAGGCATGAATTTGGCTACCTATGCTTCGTTGCTGGCGAAAGCTACTTCTCATCAGCCACATCAACACACACCACCCATCGTCACCATTTCTCACTAATCCCTAATCTGCGGACCTTCAAACTGTACCGCACATTTCCCTTCACGAACACAACAAGGCTTGGGCCTTTTATGACTCAGGTTTTAACGGATTAACGGCTTAAGATTGCATCAAACCGGCGACTCGGAGTTTGGAGTTCACACATTTCTTTACCCCTTCATCATCAGGATCCCGAAAACACAAAAAAGGACTTTCACGAGTAGAACAAAAAACATTGACCCTGAGAAACGGTCTCTCGGTCAGGCTCGGTCGGTTACTCTTCAGGGGGTGGGGGGTTCTTTTTCTCGATTTCTCGCTACCAGAAACGCTCTTTACGGACACACGGCTGCGACACACCCATCCAGCGTTGACAACACACTATGTGTCCTCACAGCAGCGACAAGCGACTTGTCTCTTCTCTCTGGATTGGACAGGGCATTTTCGGTATCATCAGCATCATTATACAGGAGAGACCGCTTCTACACTAATCATGGGTTCCCAGCAATAAGATTTTGTTTTTCGACTACAAATCGCCACCTGCTACCATGGGCAGCGTGTTCGACATTGCATCGCAGATACCAGATTCTTTACATTCGACGAGGTCTACCTTTTTTTTTCTTGTCCCAGGTTAAGTTGGGTGGCCAAAAGGGGTTGGATCTCGAAGGTCGTGGGCCGGATGAAAACGGCCTCGGACAGCGGCGGCAGACCAGCATCATTCTCATTTTTTTCCCAAATCCCACGCGGTCGCAGTGGGTGTAGATGGACGAAGGATCTTCCCTTAATTGTGGAGGAACCATCAGCAAGTCTACTTCGCATTTTTTCCTAGTCACAGTATCAAAGACCGGACAGGGTGGATGAGGAAAGAGAGACGGCGGGCGGCTATTCAGGCCAATCCTCTCTTGCTTTTTTATGGAAGACTGTAGCTACTACACTCGGTAGCTTCGCGGCAACCCAAAGGTCGAGGTCCATAGACGGTAGCGATCCCCGCGCAAGGTGGCCTTGCGCCGGGAGCGATCCAATATTGCTCAATGCTCAAAATAGGTTCAAAAAAGTCCTGCGTGTCCAACTGTACGCATCTGACGTGAAGACTACACCGGAAATGGAGCATACAACTGGATTGAACCAGTAGCTACTGTTCTGAATCGTTGGTATGGGTGTTTAGACAGTATTGACTATAAGAGGAACAAACTTTGGAGACTCCGAAGACATCGAGACATTCTTCTCCAGTGTAAGACCACATACATAACAACACACCTCTCTACCTCCCCGCCTCCCTTCGCACACGTATAGCAGAGTTTTCTAGTCTACTCGTTCGCGATACTTCCTCCCAACCCATCATGAGTCTCTCCGGATCTTGTCGCTGAACCTACAGCCATAGGCCGGGAAATGTCTCAGTCTGGAAAGAGTCATCTCCCGTCTTGTGTTCGTTCCCAGAGGTACTAAAGCGGTATGAAATCACGAGGGCGGGAGGGAATGAGTGAGACGTGGATTCGGATGTCGTGAGCACAAGGAGCACGAGAGCCCAGTGGGTGTGAGACCGTATTCAGGCGGTGTGGGGGAGGATGCCGTCAAGCTGCCTGGTTGCGCAGGAGGAGGCGCCGTCATCGTCCACAGACGCACATCTGTCTCACTTCGTCTGCCTCCGCACTCGCACCCCTCTCGGGACCACCACTACCACCACCATCACCAAGGCCACAAACGCCTTGACCTCGGCTCATAGTCGCTAAGCCTCAGAGATGCCGATTGTTTGCAGAAGTATTCCCGGTGCTAACCGATCAGCGATGACCGACACCCGAGGTCGTATGCTTTCCAATGTCTAGGTATTGATTCCTTGCCTAAAACCGGTCTGACAATGACTGTCTCCAGTTAGTGTCTCTCTGGGACTCATCGGGCACGTATTGTGCCCTCGGCGCATGACCGTTGATTGCACCTATCGCACACAGTTCGTAAGAATGTGTGCAAGTCAATGCGGTAAGGAGGCGCGATCCCAGCACGTGTCGCGATTCAAACGCTCTGCACCCCACGTTTCGGCAACTGCTGAGCCACTTTTCTCGTTCCAAATCGACAAACTATCGCGACTTCGGATAGCGATGAATGGGTGCTCGACATGTCCTGGTGTCTCCCTCCGTCTCTTCGCAGTAATTGGGTATATCCGCCGGTTGTAACTTTAGTCGTAGGCGAAAGATTCGATGGCAACCGACAACACCTACGGTGCTTCAATTTGCATCCTCTCCTTGCTCTATTCTTTGTCGAGAGTTTCTATCATGCGCGGCCATTGACAAGCCTGGCCTGAGGCGCAGTGCCGTTGACTCCGGTAGCGTGGCCATTGGTCTTCTCGGAAAGAGCCTTCCTCTTCTCGGCCTCGTCGTCGACATCAGTGACTTCTGCATCACTGCGGTCGTCCTCAGCGATGTCGTAGCGAAGGAATCGATAGGCAATGCGGAAGATGTAGAAGAGCCAGAAAAGATTCAGGGCCTGCAGTGATGACAAAAGTCCAAGAGTGATGTACTGCGACAGCGTACACTTATATTGTTGAGTGGCCCAGTTCAATTCGAATGGCCCGACAGTAGTGTACTCTGTGAACAGAGATAGAATGATCTTCAAGTTGATGAAGTGGCGCAAGTAAATCCAAACGCACATGAAGAGGAAGAAGTAAGGACCGACGATTGGAGAATCGATGTAATTCAGTACCTTGGATGTCTGTTGAATGAGTTAGCACTGCCTATAGCTCCCGGACCAGCCTCTTCTGGCTTTGTGGCCTCACATGGAATAGCGTCTACTTACAGCAAGAAAGAAGTCACTGATGTCGTGAGTGGAGTACACTGCCAGTCCCATATAGGTGAAGTGGAAGCGGTAGCTAAGAGCAATCAAAGAAAGACTGACAATGTGATGGCCAACCAGCTCCTTAAAGTCTTTCCGGGGTTTCTCCATACCCAACAGCAAGACGATTGCTTGTTGAGCCCAGTAGGCAGCCTGGAAAAGATAATAGAACTTGAAGCCAGCCTCATGTGTCATATGCGGGAAGTCCTCGTACATGCCTCGGGTACTGTAGTACCAGACGGGCGTCTTGCTCATGACGTACAGACCGGCAGGTCCAAGACAGCCAAAATAAATGGCAGTGTACATCTGCTCCATAAAACGAGCTTGCTTGCCACGCGAGCGGATTCCGGCGGCGCGAGCAAGTGGCCGCAAAAGTTCTTGCATGATGAATTCCCGAGTAAAAGTCAAGACGACGGTCCAAAATGCCACAAAGGCGATGTCCCATAGCCCCTTGCCATATTGAGCAGGGGCATCAGGATTGACCGGGTCGGATGGTAAGCGGTATGAGAGAAAAATAAAGCGATGAAGCGGGTTCGAGTCGTTTGGCTGAACAATATAAAGGGCCAGAGTAAGGCCAATAATGAGGGCGGGCACGAGGTACGTGTGTTTGGTCATGGCTTGTCGAACTCGAGCGAAGCCGCCACGAGCTCGCCGGCGCTTCGAGGGACGTTTTGTAGGAACAGTCTATAGTAGGCTAGAGGTTAGTTGAATGTTGGACACAGCCCAGTATCTAGGAACAAGGCCCGGGGCGACTAGCAAAGATGGGATCCGGGGGGGGGGGGGTAAATTACAGGTATGACGGAGGTGTTGTCTCGGGCTGTTGCAAGTGCCGGGCCTGTATCGCCAGCGCGGATGTCTTGGCCAAGTGCGCTTGACTTTCGTCGTCGTGTTGTTCGTGACGAGCTGGGGGCGTGGTCGATAGCAGAATGCAGTTGGTCGACAGAGGTATTGAGGAGAGGGAAGGGTTCGGAGTCGGCCATGGTGAAAGAGGGACGCTTCTGACAGCGTCTCGGGTGATTTAAAGCAGTCGGACGGTGGATTCGGAGGGCAGGACGGCGGGATGAAGTCGCAATGAAGTAAGAGAGGGGAGAAAGCCAGCGAGTTTGAGTTTGGGAAGCTGTCGGCGGGTGCGGAGGAGGAAATCCGGGCCAGTTAGTCGTGGGTTGGAAAGGAGCTCCCAGGTTCTGATTTATTAGACGTCAAGAAGGTCAGGGGGGCCCGCTGTCGATCATGGAAGTTTGGTCAAGGAAAGACAGGGCGAACGTGGTCGGCGGGTCAGTGGAGCTGTTGAAGAACAAGTGCGACGGGGGGGAAACTCGAGGTCGGACTCAAGGTTGTTCCTTGAGTCTTCTGTGTTTCGTCGTGTGAATTCGTCTGACCGAGGGGCCAGTCGTCTGTTTTCCATTTACCACCGCAATGCGGTCAAAGAGCAGGAGGTGGAACAGCGAGGTGATAGAAGGACTGGCTGGGTGAGAAGGATGTTCAGTCAATCCCCGGGGGGGGGGGGTCAGACGCTGGTTTTTCGTCAGAGCAAACAAGTGCAGGTGCCGTTGATGAGATCAAGCGCATGGTGGCATGTTAGGAAAAAAGAAGGATTCATTCAAATGATCAAACCGGGTAAGGGCCACGGAGATGGAAAAATAGGAAGGGGAAAAAATTAAGATCAAGTAAGGATCCAAGAAATTCGCCAAGAACCGTTTAGGAGTTGATGGTAATTTGACCAACCGAATGGAGACGGGAGCTACTGACGACAGCCAACGAGCTTACACCAACTTCAGCAAGCTATACAATTGCAGTAAGGTGCTACAGGTGTCTCGATGGCAAAGCTGCACCTCGTAGCAAATGGTTGCACACGCCTGGCCGGAGGCGTTGTTAATCTGCCGGTTCCTGCTTGGGGGGGGGGGGGTACCGGTGCGTGCCCCATCTTACCCGCGATGGCCCCCTGCTCGGGAATCGGGAGACCTGAAATGCATGCTGGAGTACGAAGTACCCTATGGGTGGTAAGGGTCGTAGAGGGACCTGGAATACATACTTACCTGAGTTAAGGTACCTCCTTTCTGGGACGATCTATCGGGCTTGCATTTGGCGTCCCCACTGCAGGAGAGATGCGACTGTTGGTTCTTGCATCTTGGGTGCTTGGCCACGCCGTTGTTGTGTAACTTGTAACTTGTTGTAACTCAGCTCGATCGCAACCTGATGCAGCCAGCACCACCCCCTTCTCTTCTCTTCCCTTCTCTTACAGCGCCGTGCTGTTGCATCGTCTTTCCGCCTTTGCAGTCATATGCCCGCCCACGCTTCACAATGCCTCCACATTTCCAGCTACACATGCAAACGCAACAGCGACGTGGACAACGTAACCAGGGCCATCCCTCTGGATCGGACAACATGGCATAGTTGAAAAGCACTCTTCCCCGTTTTCCCCCAGCCAGGTCACCTGCGAACAGAGATGCCCCCGGCTCGCACCTAGGTTTCATAAAGCTCAAAACCGAGTGCCTTGGAATCTGACCCGGCCAGACAATGGCACAATGTTGAGCTGGCAGCCATGCAAACGAGTCAAGCCAGTTCTGCGATCGAGATCGGATTCAGAATACCATACCCCGTAACCGACAAATTGTTATGGCCCAAGTCGACGGCGACGATGATGCTCCAGGGCATAGAGCTGTGGCATGAGCGCGATTCCTCCTTCAGGGGGTAATGATAGGCAAGGCTGCATAGCTACAGCCTCTAGCAAGCCTCACCCGGAAGCTTCATACTTGTTCATGCCTGACAGATTCCCCAGAGTGACGTACGCTAGATTCTTCTAGACTGTCTTCTCTCGCTAATCAACAATTGTTATGTACAACAACTTTGGATGATTGTCGTGGCGCATATATCGACTTCCTCTGCCATTCTCAAAGACTTGCGATGACGAGCATCGACCAGGCCAGCCCGCTGCCATTGATTAGCGCAGCTACATCATTGTCGGCATCACGGCCACCTACACTGCCTTCGCCTTGGATCGAAACACATCTACCGGGACCAATCCACCGAGCCTATGCGTTGCGTTCTACAGATTCGTGCCACTTGAATAGAAAATCAATCTGCAGGTCGTTTCTTGTTGAGGCAGACGAGTTGCAGTCTTCAGAAACGTCATTCCACTCAGTATGTCCAGTTGGACACCATCTCAGACTTTCAACCCCGCCAAATGACACGCCAGGATGCTGGCCCCGCCGACCCTCTCTCACATGCCACACACTGAGGAATGTATGCATTCCCGCCCCCGCTACGGAGTATGACTACGGAGTACGGAGACGGATACAGCCTATTCGTACCTTAACCCGATGGCCTGGCACGCCCGGTATACCTTGGGAAAATCGTCATCTAAGTCTCTCTCAAAGTTTCCGTAGTCTTCATGGCAGCATCTCAATCCGCCTCGGCTCGCTGCTCTGGTGCCCAATGGCCTGCGTAGGTGGCATAGCACAGCTTTCCTGAAGATCTCGGAGTACGGATACGGTCGGGATAACACCACTTGCACAGCCTTCGGGGTTTTGCTATCGTCCTGCAGTCAAGTCCATCTTCCGCCGCTGTCGTCGGGGGCTAACAAAGGTACAACCTTGTGCACTTACAACGCTCTGTCGATGTTTGCCTTTGAAGAGTCACCGTCAAGAACGAACGAATGTCCTTCGCCATCCGCCGTAGTCGAGATTGCAACATAACGGTGGAGGGCCGCAGAAATCATGCTGCTGACGCATCGTAGCCATCAGCCACGACGGGGCAAAACTTGGCGAAGCCCTCTGCGCCCTGTTGTACGTCCTCTGTCATCTTCAGCAATTTGCTGGAGGCATCCGAGAGAGAGAGACACTCCCCTGAGCGCCAAGGTGGAATGCTTCTTTCACGCCACTGAGACGGTTCCAGTCATCCACTGTCAAACGGCTGCATTCGCAGATCTCTTGGCCCCGTCGTTCTCGCCCTCGACAAAGGACGCCCCAAATTTCGCCCATGCTCACCAGCAATGCCCGAGGGTATCCAGTATTTCAGGCCGCTCGTCTGCCAAGTCCAGCCTTCAGCCCCATGGACTCTCAGCCGACCCCCCTTGAACCTTCAAATGAGAGTTTATCACAGCCTCTCTTGCAGTTGCCAAGTGCCAAGACCCAATACAGTGAAAGATTTTCCCGTCATATTGAAAACGGAGAGTTTTCACGGGGGTGCTACTGGCCGCACTTTTGCTGTCTCTCACATTCGCTTCGCCGTTTGCCGGTGGAACACCTCGGCGATCTCTGGTGGTAGTAGTGGTGGCGATACAACACGCTCCTGGAGCTCCTGACTACGCGACCTCCGTGTCATGTCTACTCCGAGTACCAGTCAAGCAGATGAAATAAGGTCTACGGCTCGGCCTTGCCAAGTGGCATAGGCTAGGCCAAGGATACAAAGGATACGAGAGATAGAAAGATAGATGCTGCCACCTCGGTGAACGGCAAACGTGGTCTCAACTGTTGACTACTGTGCAGCTCTTGACGTTCGTGATTTACAACTATGGATGTCAACTATGATTCTTCGAGCATGCATCATTCTGACTTGGTAATCCAAAAAGACCGTCATACAATTCACGTCAAGCAAGTGTACTCCGTAAACAAGTAATTTAGAAAAGTTTCCATTGAACGTATTGAAACCATTGCGGCTATCGCTAAATCTGCCTCTCACCACCTCATGTCCATCCCCCAAACGGCCCCTGGTACTGCGCGCTTCAACCACCTCACCACAGTTTGACTACGGCTCGCAGATATCTCTCCACAACATGAGGCCCCATCTCATACAGCGCGCGCGACTTGATCACCATCTCCTGCTCTGAGAGGGAGGGATCACCTGTTGGCCAGGCTGAAGTACATACAAAGCCGCCAAACGCCGCGTTTCTATACGCTGCATCCGCCCAACTGTAGGCTTTCGTTCCGTATTCCCCAAACATGTACATGAAACCACAATTGGGTCCCCTCCTCATTATTCGCAAAAGATTTTTGGTTTGCGCTTCCTCGTGAGGGCGTTTTCCCCAGTCCCATATACTCCATCTGCAATATACACTTTGAATTTGAACAACCAATCGAGAATCGTGCCAGAGTCATCCGTTCTCCCGTAGTAATGCGCTGTTATGCTTGCTCGCGATGCAAAAGAGTCAGAAAGCCACGGCGCCACGCTTTTGAATAATCGACAAAGAAACTCGTAAACCGCGTAAAACTCATCATCAGGGCGTAGGCGGCGCATTTGGTGAATGCGGCTCAAAGTCCTGATGTTGAGTTCTTACTCCAGGCCAGAGAGGTGGTCTGCTGAGCTGAAGAGTGGCAGGCTCTTGACTTTGACCTGCGGCAGGGGACCGACGAGAGAAATTGCTTTGCGTCCTTCCCAGACCAGCCGCAGCTTGAGGCGAGAGTGCAGAGGCGTCGCTAATGGTTCTGCTGAGACCCGGTTGCTCCTGGTCTTGCTCCTCTTCCAATAGTTGGGCCAGTGCCGCTCCCTGTCTTGGTGGCGCAGGAATGACAGTCACCGGAAGGCTATCTGTCTCGGGAGTTGGTCGCATCTTCTCTCTGATCTTCTCGGCCTGCGTCGCAGCAAAGTCCTCCAAACGAGCCCGGAGATCCCATCTACCCGCATCATCGTGACCTCCACGCACCTCGGGCTTTAACTCGGTGTGGGCCATCACCTCGGCTGGTGGATCGCGAGCAGTGCGGCGGAATAGTGGATTGGCCACTAAGGATCTCCATCCATTGCGGTTCTTCTCTGTCATGTCCTCCTGGGCCTCTGTGTCGATTTCAACGGTCTTGTGCGTTGCTTGTCTTGGCACGGGCGCTGCCATTGAGAGCTCGTCGTCACTCGTTGTCGATTCGCTCCTAGATGATGTCGAGTTACTCCTCGACACGGCAGCTGCAGCGTTTCTTTGGTTCGCAGCTCGGATGACTGCCTCGGGTGTCCGTGAAGTTGTCTCTGAAGGCAGCTGATATCTTACGGCATATACGGTGCTCGCTGCGCTGGCTGTGTCTGTACGGCTGACGGGCGTCACCGCGGGTGCGGGCCGAGAGGGCCACATGGGCGGACGCAACAGACCGCCCTTTGATCTCTGGCCGCCTTGATTGTTTGTTCCCGAGTTGGTGTGGGCGTGGTTAGAGCGATATCTGGAGGCGATTTGTGTCATGCCTGGCCAAAGGTTGCCTCGCTCGGCCGAGGAAGGACCTTGAGCGCCAGAACCACCCTGAGGTCCGTCTTCGCCACCGTCACCGTCCCTACCACCGTTTCTGTTCTTTCTCCTCCTAAGCCATGGGAACTCAGACGCCGAGACTTCCAGCATTTCATCGCCGTCGAAAATCTCGCGTCCTAAAATACCGTCCTTCTTCTCTTCTCTTTCCAATGCCTCAATCCTCTCTACCCATTCCCAAACCACGACACTGGCGCCTGCAGCACCGACCCAGCGAACGTAGTCTCCCCAGACAGCGAATTCTGGCTGTGCCATATCCAGTACGAAGAAAACGACTGGGACAAGGATGGCGAAGAGTGATAGTGTAGAGACCAGAATCATGTTCTTCATCAAGGGATGGTAGAAGGCGTATCGCTTCTTCATAAGTGAATAGTAAATGACCCATGCGGCGTATAACAGGCCGAGGGACAGTTGAAATAGGTAGCTGAGAGCGGGAACGGCGTCCACGAAGCTTCGTGGACGGGCGTTGCCATTGCTTCCGCTGGTGGGATACTGGAAGCTGTTCAAGGCGCTGAAGATGAGGTTCAACGTAATCAGCGCAAAGGCAGTCCACTTGATAATAACCTTTTCCCGCTGACGTGGGAAGAGTCGGATGAGAGTTTGGGCTTGTGCAAGCCACAAAAAGGTGTCTGAAATGAGGCGAATGACTTTCAGTTCGGTTCCGTCCATAACCTCCGACTGCATCTTTTTGGCGTCTTGAATTGACCACTGGTACTGCTGCTCGGCAACTTTAAACGTATCGGCGCTTGCTATGGTGAGAGAAATTGCAACGGTGACGGCGGCCACCTTCTGCAGCCATGGTCGACCTCCGATGCTGATTCCATTCGATGTTCCACCACTCGTAAACCCGCGTCGGCCGAGATATACCACTCCACCGTCAAGAAATGATCGGGGAGTAATGAAAAGCATGATCACAAGCATGTATGCTGTTACTGTCGTCGCGGCGAGGGCGTAGCAGACGGGGAAGATGGAGGCGAAGAAGGGGTCACGCAGGTCGTTGTATTGTACCGCGCCTCCGGTCGTGGTTTCTTCATAGTTGATGCCATTGTTCGCAATAATAATAGGCGCGGCGGTCGCGATTTTCGCGGCTGCTGCTCCAGCGGCGCCCAGAGAGGGCAAGGGACTCGCGGCTGCGGCGAGATCTACCATGATGGCGGCGCCGACTCGTCGGATGCTTGTCGATGAAGAACAGAGCGGCCAGCCGCAGGCGAGGATCGAAAGAGGCTTCGTCCTACTCGCGAACACTCGCCATCGAATAAGCTTCGCAGTCGTCGGTGGATTCGCAGTGTTGATTGGCGTAGGCGTCGAGTTGTTGTCGTCGAGCGACGCGAGTTCCGGGACTCGGTCGGGCGGATGGGTGCGGCGAGCGTCGAGGATACGAGTCCAGGCGTTCTGAAGTCGCGCACAGAGTCGTCGAAGGGTTGAGCAGTTGGTTCGAAGTAATCGTCAATGTTCCAAGTTCTCCCAGGCGAAGACCAAAATAGCCAAAGGTCACAATCGAATTGTTAATAAACCGGGTCGAGGTTGAGGTTGTCGGTAGAAAGCGTTCCAAGAAGGCTTGCGTGTGGGGGATGTGGGAGGGATCGCAGGCTGGGCGCCGAGAGATTTTGGGAGGACAAGAGAATACGGGGGAGAGAGAGGGCAAAAGAAGGAGGCCGGGGGGAAAGGAGAGTGTAAAAGCTACTTCCGGGGGGCTGCTGAGTCGCCGTAGAGGGGAAGGCGGCGTGCTGAATGGTGTGTACGGTGTTGCGCTTTGTTAGATTGGTGCTGGCCAGATCTGGCTGTTCTTGCTCGTCTGGTGGAGTCGTAGACCGTCTCGAAAGTGTTTTGGAATAGCAAGTCGGGGGGACGCGGATGGATATGGGATAGAATTGGGGGGGAGCAGCGACTCTCCCAGTGTCATTCTGATTCTCGAGGGGGGTGCCGGGGCGGTACGTGGTTTTGGTGCGAGGAAGGCGAAGCACACTGTAAGCCGTGGGACTGGGATTATCTACACACCCTCTCCGGCTCTGCGTTTCCGCTAACTGTGCTCAATGCTATCGGATACAACTCGGACCATGGTGATTGTACGTGGATGCCGTGGCATGAGGAGTGGGGCTCATGTAGCCCTCATCTCCAGCGCACAGTCGCTGTACTGTGAATTCCCGAGTCAGAGGGACCGGCTCTCTCTCAAGAGTTGTCACGAAGCACTGCGCGATCGTGTAGTGACAGCTTGGCAGACCCGACGAGATTCGGGGCGATCTACAGACACCAAGAAAAGGGTCCTTCGCCGTTTGGCAAGAAGGCGTGTGAAGAAGCTTCCGACTCTGCATGGCATTGCCGGACGCCATTCCGCAATCCATCGTCGATCCGTGAGGACGCTGGCTCCGGCTTCGTGGGATTGTCAGATGGGAGACAAAATACGCAGTATTGCGTACCTACCACAGTACAGTAGGTACGACACGTGCTATCCGACACCAGGGTATGGCTGCGAATAATTGATTGACTTGCTTCCAAAGAGGCACCAAGTATGAGATTCAATACCGTCGCATTGAAATTGCAGCGAGAAGGCGTGCAAAGACCCCGCCTATGCCCCTTCTTCGTCAGCTTTGCACTGTGAGCACTCAGGACGAGCGCTGCCATCGAGATCAGACGGGAGGGGAAAGTTGGTGGTAGAGAACAAATCAGTCTGTCGGCTGTCGTTCACGTCCTGCATCGCGTGGTATGACAGAAGGCTCGTTCAAAAAAGCTTCTTCGCGGGCTGTCACGAGTCCTAGCAGTGGAGAGTCCGTCGTTGTCTAATTGAGGCTGGCATTCGACTATTGAATTATCGTTGGGCAATAAGGAAGAATCACCCAGGCGCGCCACCATCTAACGGATTCGGCAAGCAGAAAGCGGTGCTGCTCGATATCCGGCGACAATGGGAGAAGTCAACTCGGTACTGTTCTGGAATACCTCGACCAGCGTGCCAGGTGAGCCAGACAAGTGGACGCCGCCAGTCCCGTCAGCCACCTGCATCGTGGGTGTCCCTACCTACAAAAATAAGTAGTAGACATTATCCAATACAGAAAGAGTACGTACTCTGGGGAGTACGACACTGTACGCCCAGCGCTAGTCAATAGCAGGCTGCATCGCCGTGCCCACCGTTGAAGTGAAGAAAGAGCGTGTCCGTGAGGGTTGGCTGAAGCTGGGAACGAGAACGGTGCGGTGGTGCGGTGGGTGTCTAAGCCTCCTCGTCTCGAGGGGAGCACCCTGACACGGAGAAGGGCAGCCGCGCTGATCAAGTACACAATTCAGATGGCCGGCCAGTCGTCTCTTGAGTACTGAGCTCGGAGCGTTTTGTCTTGGCTCATGAAACACGGAAAAAGGGTAAAAGGGCTGACCAAGAGTGTAACCCCTCGACTGGTACTCGACTCTCACCCTGTCTATTCATCACTCGTTACCTTTGTACTTTTTTCTTCTGAACTTGATGAAAGCTTGAGGGGGAGCGGTGACATCAGGAAATTCGGTCTCATCGTCGCCTATCGTGGCTCTGCCAACTCTAAATAAAATAGAGGTGAGAGCGTATCCGTAGTTTATGCTTGTGATCGCTGTCGATTTAATACGGAGACGGAAGAATTGAACGGACGGACGGTTTGTGCTACCAAGACGGAGAGGAGAACGGAAGGAGTCCCAGTGCTGACAGTCTTCCAGGGCTGGCTTGCTTCGGCGGCCACTGAGCTGGATGAGGAAATGATGAAAGGTCAGCGCTGCGGAAGGATCCCACACTGTGCCAGGGTCCCCGGGCACGGCGTTCCCTCTTGCAACCACGCCCCTTGCCCCGGGCTCACCCATCCGGTCAAGGGACGTCCAATGAGCAGAGTCTTTGGGCGAGAACTGCGGGTCATCCGCAACCCATGGACGCGGGCCAACGTCCAAATGGGTGACTGTCCGAGTACGTACCTGTGTTGGAAATGAGCAGGGGAAACTTGTGCAAAAAAAACCACCACTGACAGGCCACCACTAAGCAGGTCCTTTGGCGGCGTAGCCCTGTCTTTTGTGACGGATATGAGGCGCTGGGATTGATTTTTCTTTTGCTTTGGAACAAGCTTCCCGTCCGTCCCTTCTCGGCCATTTGCATCGTTCCCGAGTCCGCAAAAAGGGGATCAAGAGCTCAGGCCAACGGCAAATCCTCATCGACACAGGGGTTCTAAAAAGTTTTCTGGGTGTTGCTTGTTTGGAAGGATGCTTGATGTGCAAGTATTCGTACGAATGGTGTGATAAATACATTATACATGTGTTGAAGGAGAGTGAGGTGATGTCGGTGTCCGGCAAAGCATATCGACTTGGCCTACGTTGCTGCAGACGAGGAGTGGCAGACAATCAGCAGAACGGCAGGTAGCAGCCGGGCCAAAACCTGTTGTTGGCTCTAGGTACTGTCCAGTCCAGTGGTCAGTCCCAGATGGTGTTGCCCCCATTCAACCCCGCAGATAATCGTGCGTACCTTGGCCTGTAGGTACAATGGGAGGCAGGCACGGGAAGGCGCTTGCTAAGTTACCTATTCTTGGACCTTTGGGAGCTTGCAGCCGGGCGAATTGGCAGGCTTCGGTGATGCAATAAGTGAGTGTTGTGTTCTTAGGTACGAATGTGTCGTGATTGCCACCGGGCTACAGCCTGCAGCATCAGATAGGTACCTAGGTGGTATGCCATCCGTAGGTATCCGTAAGGAAAGCGTGGGAAGGTAAGCAGATGAGGTGGCTTGTGCTTTCTTTCTTTCCCCCGTTCTTCGTGCTTCCTTCCTAAACTTCCCCAACCCGACACCCCGTCTTTTCCACACCTGCCCGTCTTGGCTCTGTTCCTCTTGGCAAAGCTTATCACTCGTGGCTGGCCAGCGATCTTGGCGATTGGATTTCCCTCTCATCCGTCTTTCATCGTCCCTTCCTTTCCCGTCCAACCCACCTGCACACACCGTCAGGTTGCTTCTGACTGGCTCAAGGCGGGGGCAGCCTGCCGTTATGTCGTTGCCGTTGCCGCTGCCGTTGCTTGTGCCTGCCCGTGCTGCCGTCCTGCCCGTCTCTGAGTCTGACGGATGTCTCTCAATTTTTTATTTTTTTCCCTTTGCTGTTGCCCGCTCCAGACGAACCGCATCCATAGCACGGCGCGCACACTCTGACACGCAGCTCCAGCGAAAATAATCAGCCCACACGGCTACTTTACCCTCATGACACTGTCGCAGCATTAGTGTCACGGTTCACAACCTGCTCCTACTCAACACAGACACAGTCGTACGGCTCAATCCAGCTTGTGCGTTTTTTTTTATTTTGTTTTTTTTTAGTGTTCCTGATCGTGGACCCGCATCACCCAGCTTCAGTCTGAGCTAAGGAGTACGCGACTTGCTTGCAAGGCCGGCCGAATTAAAGTGAGGCAAGCGGCCGAGTCTCGACTTTCACACCCAAACCCCGCCGGCTGACACGACACGCGACACACTCTCTGCATTGGCCAGTAAACGACCATCTACCTCGCCTCAAGCTCGTCGATCTATTTGTGTATCCGTAGACATTTTGACCAGAGAGTCTGATTGATTGAGATCTAACTCGGAATGGAAACCACACGACGCATTATTCCCACCAGGAACAGCGCTGTAGACAACACAGCTGAGTTCAATATCTCAAGTAACCGATGCGCTTTGATCATAATGAGGACTGATTAATGCTGAGATTCAGACAAGTCAAGAGCATCTCAAAGTTGGGGCTGGAAGCGGTCGAAAGCTTCAAATTAGACAATCAGGCTCCGACGAGAGCTATCAAGCCAGTGCCAAATCGCCTCGCCAAACACATCAGCTGGCATGAGTGAAGTCGTCTCGGTCTGGACTGCGTACCTCGTAAAGTGCAACAAAACCACATATCCCAGTCACACAGTCTTCTATAGAGCCGGCGTCGGCTAGTCAAGACACGACGCCGTCCACGTCGCTTCCAATGCGGTTGAGCATTCACCGGTGTCTCCTAGACTTTGCCGCTTCTTTTGCATTCCCCGTCCCGAACCTTTTAGGTTAACATCCGAGGCGCTACTCGCCGCGACCACAGTTCCCTCCTCTCTTGGCCTACGACAAGCCTTTACCCTGTATCGAGACTCCTATCCTAATATTCGTAACTCGCATTCAGAGCGTGGTGAAACTCATCACCTGAGATCTATGATTTATCGCCAAGTCGGGTGTGTCCGTCGTAGTCCGTCGCACCTCTGAGGTTGTCTACCTGATGTGTCTGCTCTCTTCGCGGGCCAAGTAAGGGAGTCTAGGTCCCGAAGCGGTATGCCAGGTGAGTCCATGGATGATGTGGATGCTTTCTACAATCTTCACGATGAACCCGGCGGCTACTTTGTAAAGCTGCTGAATCTGCCCCCGATCGGGAGATCTGGAACGGAGACTTTGTTTTTCTCGTCTTTCGGTATCCGGAATCCGGCTAGCTTCTGCTGTCGACCACCTTCTCCCAAGGAGATGCCAAGCCGTCTTGGAAAGGAGAAAATGGTCTGACTGGGACTCAGTAACGCGGATCTTGGCGATCTGCCTTACTGCTGTGGAGAGTTTGAAGGTCCCTCGGCGAGTTGCGTTTCTCCAAAATAGGCAACACCACCAACACCATGGCTAAGATAGAATCACACAGAATCTGTACGCCAGCATGATCTCGACTTTGCTCAAGTGTCGAAATCGTCTTGGCAGCGTGGCGGCTCTCATTTAGGCCTCGCTGGGTCATCTTGAGACCTCTGCAGCATTCCTGATGGTGTGCAATGGACCACTCGGATTCCGTGAGCTGTACCAATCAAGGACAGACAGTGACGCAAGAGTCTCTCTCTTTCATTCTCTGCCAACACCGAGTATTTGAGGACCCAAGAATGTCAATTCTTCAGAGACCACAGTGAGGCATGATGGGTACATTCCGCCGGAGGAGATTTCACAAACCAGCTGCCTCTGCGGTAGGCCAGATGGACCAAAGCAAAAAGGTGTTCCTAGCGCCAGCCTCACAAGTGCTTGGCAGTGTGTGTTGAGGGTAAACCTTTCTCGATAACGAGAGCGATGCGCCATCGTAACTCTATGTCGCCTCACCCACGTCACAAGCAAACCCTCACAGAATATTCTCAATTCGTCGTGAACACCATCTCAGGGGTATCAATTATACAACCTCTATCGCAAACGCCTTTTTGTCTCTCTCCACACCTAGCACTTCACCCCCCCTTTCCCCTTTCCTCTCCTCAGGAGCAGAGTGAACTCAACCCTCCTGCTCAAACGTATCGTTCAGATACCCAACAAAGCTCTCCCTCATCCTCCCCGCGCTAAAGTTGCCCACGCCCTCGAGCCCGATCCCGCCACGGTTCAAACCCACAAACGCCCTCCTCAGCCTCTGAAGCTGCGGCAGACCGACCTTGCGACCAGGAAGCTGCACAACAAGCTCCTTCTTCTCCCCTCCCGCCCCATCATCCCCCCTGGAGACCTTGACCTCCCCGCCCTCCTCCCCTTCAGCCTGCGCCTCCAAAATCCTCTTCACAACATCCTGCGTCTCGCGGTCCAGCACGTACAGGTAATCCCCGCTCGTGTCACGGCTGCGCTGGACCGTCGCCTGGTTGGGCTTGATGACCTTCCGCCCCGTACCCGCGACGGCGTCCCAGATGTCGTCGCACACTTTTGCCGTCTGCGCCGCGTCGTCGTCCCAGATGAGGGTGAAGAGCGGGCTGTCCCAGCGCGTCATCGGGTTTGGCTCCTCGTAGCGGAAGACGAGGTTGTCCCAGTTGTCCGTGTCGTAGGGCTGCTGCTCTTCGTCGGTGTCGTCTTGCTTCGTCTCGTCTTCTGTGTTTGCCTCATTTGCGTCCTCCGGGATCTGAATGCTATCCCCTTGTGCTTCCTCTGTCGCGGTCGTCGTCGTCGTCGTCGATGCAGCCGCCCCTCGCTTCCTCAACCTCTCCTCATTTATCCCCCTAGCCCTCTCAACTCCACACCCAATCTGAAGCACGACGCTTGGCGTCCTCATAGCTTTAGCCTCGCAGTGCAACTGGTACCGCCACCCCTTGATGTAATTCATCCCGTCCAAAATAACAATATCCCGGTCCGACAGCACGCGCTTCACGGCGCCGTAGACAGCCGCCCTGGCGTCCTTTTCCGAGGCGTTGGCGGAGCGCGTGTGCGCGCGCACCTTGTTCGGGTCGAGGTCGTACACATCGCGCGATATCGAGAGCGTCGAGTCGGAGATGTAATGGAGTCGGTACGGTGGTGATTGTTTGCTGCTGCCGTCGGCGGCGGCGGCGATGCGTGCTGCCAGGTGTGCTTGCAGCTGTTTTGCGCGGGTCGTCTTACCCGAGGTCGGGAGACCTGATACTACGATCAACTGTCACAGAGTTAGCTTCTTTCTCCCACGAGCCCAGGAATGGCAAGACTCACCGGCATACTGGCGGTTCGTGAGTTGGGAGGGGTTGTCGTTGAACGTGAGTGACAGACTTTGGCGGGGTTTCTGGGGATTTTTTGCATCTGCGATCAGCTACCCCACCTACCAAATCGGGACTCAAGTCATTGGCGCAGCTTGCCTATAATGTAGCCATCTTCACATGATTTCATGAGTAATTACAGAGAATCATACGCGTAACAAGTAATGTATGAATCTCGATGCTTTCGAGTATGGGTATCATGAGGTCTCTGACTCTGAAAAACGCCTAAATCCCCTTCTACGTGCAATCCGCCGCTGTCCCTCGCAAATGAAAACTCTCCTCAGTCATCCATATTCTCGTCCTCGTCAACGTCGCCTTCAGGTTCCTGAGCGCCCACGATGTCAATATAGAAAAGCATGCGCTCTCCCGCCAGATCCATCATCTCCTTGGCGTAGATGTCACGCGGACTAGGGCCTTTTTTTCCGCGGCCCCGACGGCTCGGGGTCGTCGCGCTCCTCCGGTTCGTACCCCTGGCCTTGGCCTTCCGTGCCTCGATTCCCTTGAGCGCGGCTTTTCGGAGCCTGTCTCTGGCTTCCTTGGTCTCTTCCGCCGGTATCGTGTAGAGCAGGCTCTCAAGGATCAGCGCTACCCTGGCGTTGTCTTCTGGGTCAATGGTATTAGCATGGTGACCCAGGTAGCACAACTCGAGGACGTCTGCGTTTATGATGATCCCGCTGTCCTCCCCCTTGATGACCTTCTTCGGGTCTTCATATCCGGAGGGCAGCAGTTGATCGAGCTGAACGGCCAGAAAGTCGATCTTGAAGGCAGCTCCGTATCGCTGGATGTACGAACTCATGTCGGTGATGAATTGGTGAAAGAACGAAAGAGGTTGCTGCTTGAGTAACCTGCACAAGTCCAGCGTGTATTCGTTGTGGTCCATGAACTCCTCGGGCATATTGTAGGCAACCTCGGAAAGGAGCTCCATCAGTCTCAGACGAAGGGGAATCGAATCTGCCAGTGGGGCAGCGACAAAATCTCCAGCTTTCCTGGCTGGTGTGCGTGGTGTACGAGGCGTGCCCGGTGTACCCGCCTCGGAGGGTTCGTCGTCCGTCAACTCTTCGTTGAAATAGTCGCCAAATTGGTCGTTCTCGATATCAAGCGTAGCCATTCGTTTGCGTTTCTTGTCCTCGCTCGGTAGCCCCTTTATCTCCTTGTTGAACACCTCAGGAAATTTCGCCAAGGATGAGGTGCAGCCGTCAGCGAAGACGGCTTGAAGGATCATCCTCAGAGCACCTCGCCCGGAGTCAGTCTTCTGCTTGATGTACATGACAAGGATTGACTCTCGCATGTGTGTCCAGTTCTGAGGTTGCTGTGATGAGGCCAAAGACTCCTCATCAAGGCGTTTCCGTTCGTAGATGTCAGCCTCGAGAACGTCAATCATGAATTTCAGCCAGGTCTTCCAGAAGCGCCAACGGTGAGGATGTAGTCTGCTGCAGTTGAAGGCCCAGCCGAGAACAGCCCAGAAGTCCTGCGCGCGCTGCCATATGCTATCTTCGTTGGCCAACTTGTTGTTGCCAATCTGATCACCGTCGATATCCTCGTCCTCCTCGTCGTGGTATCGGTTCCGGCGGCCGTATTGGACCCCATGGAACTGGAACGCACTCCTGAAGCCGGCGTTGATGGGTCCAACAATGGCGAGGAGATTACGCAGGTAGTCCAGCGTCTGTGAGCAGACCTCGAGACGGTCGGCGCCGGGGGCTCGAGTCGTATGGCTCGGGTGGATGGTCAGGGTGTTGAGGAGGGCAAGGTGGGTTAACGGAGGGACAGGGACGCGCTTCGGGTTGGTGTTGATCTTTCGCGAGAACCCGGCAGTGAGGAGGCTATTGTACAGGCCGAGTGCGCCATTGTCTAGAATAGTCAGCGCATGTCGCGAGGAGGGTGGGCAGCTTGCTAACGTACAGAGGTGCTCTTCCAGGTAGATCTGGCAATGTTCCTTCAGCTCACGGGGGAGCAGGGTCGCGGATGAGTACATGCGTTGGGGTGATGCAGGATCTGTGGGAGTCTGTTTTTCGGAGTTGGCATCCGGCGATTGAAAGGCCGTCCTGAATGAGTCTGGCGATGATACGGCAGATAAATCCGTCAAGGACGAAGAGAGCTCCATCACGAGCTGCATGGGGTGACGCGTCTGGAGACGCGGTTGGAAATGTCCCACTATCGTCAATTAAAGTCGGGTTGGGCAGGGGCCTACAGGGTCCCTGGTCAGTCCAGAACCTTAAATTACATAAGGCCCTTCCGGCAGAGGGACCCCCAACTCATCTGGCAGCAGCTGTTCACAGCTTCACATCCATCGCTGGTGCACCTGCTGAGTGCTAAACAGCATAGCTTCTAAGAAGCATCCTAAATTTTGAGAAGCGTCCACATAATTGCGGCTTCATGACGCAATGAGATAAACTATAACCTGGAACTGAACCTTAGATCTGATTTCGCTGAGTGTATAGCTTGAAGGACGGGCAGGTCGAGCTGGTAGAGCTGAACTTCAGTGACTCACATGGGCGAGGCTTCATATGAGCCACCGACCACTTCCGAGAGGTGAGGTACTCAACACAGTTGAAGGCACAGTTGAAGGACCTGGCCTTTCCGTTCTTTCAAGAACTGGAGCAGTAGTAATTTAGGCTTGCGCGGAAAATAGCATTGAAATCGTTCACCACTCATTGAGACCTACCTGATTATCGATAACTTCAATTACAGGTTGGGTGTTTCGGGAAGTCTACAGCAGCGTGCACAATTCAAATACGATAAGGTCGTTGGTGTTTTCTCTTGGTCCCCTGTAAACTATTATTGTATGTCATCAATGCTATACTCTGTGCAGTGAGTGGCTCATCGTGGTGTCAGCCCCAGTAGTCAGTATGATACATGAGAGTGAGAATGCCACCCCTCCTAGTATGACCTGCTTGTCAAAGGAGCTATATGTGTGAGCAAACATCACACAAGCTCCTCAAATACCTTCCCAATACTGTCATTCTCTCCGTAGCAGATTGCGTAAGCCGTCCTAGCATATTCCCTCGCCGGTGCGCATAGCTCAGGGGCCACAATCTTGTACACATGGAACATGACGAGGAAGGCCGTTACGATATGCTCGCCAGGTGGACCCCATTTGATGATCTTTAGATGGCGCTTGCCTGATGCTTTCACAGCCCGGCTAGCCTCGAGAATGAAGCCACGAGCCTCGAGACTCTTGATGGACAACTCGAGAGCCTCTAAGTGTTTTCCCCTGTCCAGTCGCTTCTGGGCGAGCGCAAGGTACGAGTCCCATAGTTCCAGACGGTAAGATCCTTTTCCGGCGGCGTGAGTCTCCTCGAGCTGGCCAATCAGCCGTTGTGCCTTGGACTCTTGAGCTAGAGTCCTGCAAGCTTTCATGGTGCTCTTCAACTCTCGGAAAAGCCCTTGGCGTTTTTGGAAAGTCTGCTTCGAGATCGACTTCTTCTCTTCGCACAGCTCACATCGGCAAGTGAACCCCCAATTTTTTAGATGCTTCTGAGTTTCATCATAGCTCGCACATTCATCAGGCGGCCGGTAGCTGATCAGCAACTCCGTGTCGGCGTCCATATCTCTCGAAGCTCGCACCACCATCACGTCTCCAATGAACGAGCGGCGACAGTTGCCGACACATGAGTGATTGATGTGGGACGCTTGAGTCCAAATGCCGCAGGTGGTATAGCTTCCTTGTTGAACTCCCGTATCAGTCAAGTGGAGGACGGATGCTCGCGGTGCACCGAAGCAGTTAAGACCTATGATCTTCGCGACAAGGAACCTGTGATAGAGTTAGTGCTGAGACCTTCGCGTATTCCCATGAGATACTAACGTATCTACCACAGTTTCAATCTGCTCTGCAGTCTCGTCTAGTCGATACTTTCCGCGATACAAGTCAAAGAAGCGGGAGGCAGTCTGGGGATTGTGATGGAGCTTCTGTACAAGGCCGGAAAGAAGATCTGCCTGCCCACCCATCGTCATCCTCTTTGTGTCCCAGCTCATAAGTATCTTGATGTTCTGGCGACTGACAGTATCGTCGTCGCCAGCATAGCTGTACGCAAAGGCTTTCTCGCAGAGAAGAAGTTCACCAGCCTTCACGGGCTTGGTTGTGAAGAGCCCTCGTCCACGTCCAGGGGATTGGCGCACCTCGACAGGACCAGTGTAGGTCGCACAGTCGATTGTAGGGGGGGTGGCCTTGGCCTGGTTGTGCATGTGCTTCCACTGGTAGATCCCCTGATCTTGCTCACGAATACGGCACATAGTCCGCTCCAGTTCCTTCCCTGCGTCACGGTTTTCGGGGTTCAGGATAACAACTTGACGTAGCTTCTCGGCGCAGAGCGAGAACTGTTCCAGCGCGTAGTGGGCCTTGGCTTCTCTGAACAGTCCTTTCTCGGTTGGGTCATTTTCCTGTCGGCTCTCAATGGCATCGCTCAGTGCCTTCTCCGGGCGATGAAGCTTGAGGTTTGCCAAGGAACGGTTAAGGAGCGCTGCACGCTTATGTTCAGGCGTGGCAGCAGAGTCGAGTGCCTTGGAATATCTAAACCGCATTCAGTAAAAACCTCCGCGAGATCAATAATCATCATATCTGCTGCTCACAAGATTTCTGCTTTTCCCCAATCTTGCTGTGCTACAGCATTGTTTCCTTGCTGCCGGATCTTCTCGGAATTGACACTAGGAGTCCACGTCTTCCACTGCGACGGGATGCGTTCGTCGCCCTCAGGTAGTAGGATGATGTCGTCAACGTGGTCCACTCGTAAACTGTATTTGCCATCGGTAGTCGCCTTGAAGAACGGGTCCTTGATGAGGCAGATGCTGCCTTCCGGGAATATGTCGTCAGGTTGCATAACCCTATGATCCGGCTGGTTGTAAAGTTGGAGTAAGACGGCGGTGCCGGCCTTGTCCTCAGCAATGGCCATGATTGCGTTAATCTGATCCGTGGGCGTCATTGTCCGTACGATGACTAGCTTGCCTCGGTGGTGCTCTTCCAACCTCATCTTGGAGATTGGCAGAGGCTTTAGCTCGTTGACAGGCTGTATACAGGGCAAATATGCCGGTGGAACCTGAGTAGTTGCAATATTCGACCCTCCACTAGAAGCTGCCGGGCGTGATATGCGCATTGATCTTGCCAGCATGAACTGCATCACCAACACATCGGGGGGAGGATGATCATGAGGAACGTATCCTTTTCTGCGGCCACCTCGTTCCGCGGCAGCTTGGAGCCGTTCCATTAAGGAGGCAAAGTCGCCGACATCAGAAACGTCCCTGACGTCCATAGCGATTGAAAGGTGATGTAACGCGTCGGTGTTGATTGATCCTGGTTATCGTAGCTAAATTCGCAGATTCGTTCTTCGAGGTGAGTGCGTTGGACGAGGTATGAAGAAGAAGAAGAGGTGAGAAGAAGAAAAAGAAGAAGAATTAACAAGGCAGGGTAGGAGCAGATCTAAATTTTGTTTGAATGTAGATGAGTACATGATTGGGTACTCATACATCTGTTGGTCGTATGCGGGAGGCCGACTGCCTGACGGGAAGATGTTAGGCACAGCCCTGTTGTTCAGATTTAGGCTCACTTGAGGTACTTAGGTAGCATATCAAAAAAGCTCAACTCTGAAGTCTCACTTCATAGTAAGGGGTCTCGGCCAGTATGCAACACGGTTCATCCTGCCTCAAGGGAGCTACGTACCTTATTTGTCCTCCACGGCACATGAATATCCCATGGCGGAGGCTATCTTCAAGAGGAGAATTACACTTGGAGATGAATCTTGAGTCTCAGACTATCGATCAAGGTAAAGATCGATTAAATTCACGAACTCAGTGAGCCTCAGCCTTTCAAAAGTTCTGCGAGAGAGAATAGAGAAATGGCCATTACTTCTTCGTCGCCACAAAGCCATTATGCTTCAAAAGTCCTTTCAACGCAGATGTCTTTCTATAAATAGACAAATCTCTTTAGTGTAGCTACTTCTTTATCCCTGTGTCACCCTACATATATGAATCCGAGTCCAATGCTGGCATGTAGGCCAATGACTATGTAAATTTATAATTCTCAAGACATTCATAAATTTAGGGTTTTTGTCTCTCATCTTAGCAAAGGCGAGGCCAGTGGCAACTGAAATGGTGGACATCAATCCAATATGAGACTAGACTTGATAGAATGAAGTATGAAAGCTATCAAAAAGGCAGGCCGATGAGCCCTTGTTGCCATATCTTTTCCCATCAGGTGGTGGTGTTACTTCGCCACGGGATGCCTACCCCTCAGCAGCCCATGCACCAGAGTCTTCCAGCGTTTTCCATCACCCTTCGTCACCTCAGCACCACGTACACAAGCTTTTGAAAAGAACATGCTTTCTGTAGTGCCATCTGAGGATAACTCTGAGTACCAAGTGACCCGCCTCACAGTGCTTGGGGTTGATCACATTCAACCCGGCAAAGCCGAGCCTCATATCTAAGGATCGCCATGGTCCTCTGAGATTCTCAGACCAAGACACATGATCAACGAAAAGAAATGCAATGCCGCGTAGAGAAGTTTGTATAAATTAGACATGACTGCATCGCTATGAAGAATTGTGTAAAGTGATGTTAAGAAACGTTGACTGCAGTAGCAACAACACTACAGAAGCGAGCAGCACTTAAGGTACGCACCCCTGTCTACGAGCTATCCCACGCTTCAATTGATCTTACAGGTGCCTCAGTCCATCAGAAGATGCAGTCAGAATCTACACTCAACCGACCTCCGAGCCTCGTCATTAGGAACCCGCCAGACGACAACGGGTGGCCCAACATCCCACCGCTCCCACTCCCACCTCCGCTTAGCCCCCTCCGCAAAGGGCGTACATCCACCCGGACGACATGTCACGATTGCCTAAAGCGGATGAAGGACGCATGGCATTGGTTGAGAGGGTCATTCACTCGCTGGAGAAGGGGTAGCCACAAGAGAAGCCCCATAGCTGCATGAAGGGCGTGTGTGTGTAAGGGTGTAAGTGTGTGTGTATATAGGTCAATTTCAGCCTATAGATGCCCAACAGAGATGCCGTAGCCTTCCCTTCTCGTATCGTAACTGTGAGCGTGGTGTGTACCCCTCCCCTCATATCGGAATCATCGTCGTTCTCCAATGATATCGTCGTAGAAATGTCCCAAAACGCCCCTCTG